TCAACAGCAGCATATTAGATGCATGAATAGGGATGCCAAAAAAATCTGCATATCAAATCTGACCTAATGACTTAACCTTGAAGGCAAAAGCAAGAAAAAAACACCTCTTTACTTCACAGGTCAGTTTCTCAGGGAATATTTAATAAAGCTGTTAAAACTTAAAAGGTCTTGTTTGGGAGAGACCTCCGATTCAAAAGGCTGAAAACATTGTTGTACTGTAAACAAAAGTGCTGAAAATGGTCATATGACCTGTTTCCCTGAGCTTGAATCAAATTAATCCTGCTAAAGCTTAGAAATATGCATGACTCAGTAGCCAAAGCCATGTGCGTATCTGCCCTTGCAAAGTTGCTGCCACCTTTCATTGTCCAAAAGTGCTGTGTTGCTGATCTCCAAACAGCCTCTAGTGCTTTAGTTCTCTTTCCAGAAAAGAACTCAAAACATTGCATCCTGAACTTTCTATTAAAATGGATTTTTACAAACAATTTTGAAATCTATCATGTATATAGCTCCTATTTGGATAAACTAGAAGTACACTCAACAACATATGTTATTATGACTGTGCAATTCCACTATTTTCAAAACTTTTGGTTTTTTCTCTATTCTCTCACTACTGATTACCTACCCCATTATCTACTCCACTCTTCCCTCTTCTAATGAGATTAACAGTATTCTGTAACTATTTACTACACAATCCTGGCTGCTCTGGAACGAAAGGAATGTTAACTCTAAAAAGAAAAAAAATAAATTAAAAAATGGTACCATGTGCCTAGAAGGATGATGGAATGATTTGAAATCTCAGTGCAGGCCCAAATGCACTAGGTTTCAAGTATCAGAAGCAAATAACCACATATGTGCTATCCAATTTCCAGCCTCTCAGCTGTAAAATGAAAATGATACCTTCTAAACGATGCAAGAGCACAACCCATCAAATACTAAAATCAAAACCACACATAAATACCAAGTAAACTAAACTCTACTATTGCAAGAAATTGCCAAGATTCAGAACAGAACATTTTTTTTTAGCATCTTTATGAGTGTCAGCCAAGACAGGACAGCACAGAGCATAAGCCAGTTCCTACAAGCAGTTCTCCCAAGACTGAAATTGGTGCAAGCTAGAAAGAAACTCGTAGGCTACTCCATATGGCACACCAATGTTTTCCAATTCATAACCACCATCTTTTATAGCAAAGACCTCTAAGACAAAGTACTAAAAAAAGACAAGGAACTGGACAATCTTTGAGATGTTCTGTCTCCATACTTCACATACCCAAATGCAAATGCCAATGCTTGCAGCAGTGTCAACAAAGACATCACACACTCATTCCCTGCCTACTTAAGAGAGAGATGTTTAACACCAAAAAAAAGCAGGAAAGCTTCTAACCTTCACTTTCTCAGCACCACAGATTATTAAATAATAATCAATTTCAATTACTATGTAATAGAAAACCCTTGTGGTTGAAAGAAGAGAGACTGGAAAGGTTTGTCCAGCCCCTGCACACTGTGGGTGCAGCAAACAACAAAGGAGAATGTCTGGCCTTCTAAAAATAAGTCTTAAAACAAAAGGAAGAACAGTAAAATCTATTCCTTACAATGAAATACAGTACAATCTCCAATATCAACATGAAAATGGCAGAAACAAATTCTAAAACACTGACAAGTACAAAAATAATTCATAACTTCTCAAAGTAGTATTACATTCTTATTTATTCTTATGCTCCTTAAATGTACTAACATCAATGAGCAAGAGAGTCAGTGGATTCTAAACACTTCTCAATGCTGCAAACCGGCATATATACATTCCTTGTAAGGGCCCCTTCTGGGTGACCCCTGGTATCTTCAAAAAATATACTTAAAAGATCAATGAATTACCACTTTGTACCTTGGCACACACAGTGGGAAGCTGTAAATAAAACCAGGAATGATTCCATTTCCTGGTTGTGTAGATTTTGCTTTGATATTAAAATAAATAAATACTAGGTGTATATATAAGGGCACTTTAAATGTTTTCAAGGTTACAGACATTTGAATATTTCAGAAATTTACTACAGACTACACCTGTATACCTATTTGTATTTACACATCCACAAAACTCCAGGGAAGTAAAGCTTTAAAACAGATCTGAGAGGTCTGTGAAGCCACTCAGCAGCCTTGTGAGTCACACCTGCACTTTTACGGTCAGTGCCAACATAAAATTTGCATTTTTTTCTGTATTCACTGTGCAATTGATGGCATGCATCACAGCATTCAAGTTTCTAGTGCTGAGCTAATTTGAATCTCAGACTAGACCATTCAGTTTCTTAACTCCAGCAAAACTTAATTTCTATCCTGAGCATGGCATAAGAACTCATCACTGGTGAACATGAGAATTGCATCTGGACACTGAAAAAAGTGCATACAACTCTCTTTTAACCCTTCTAGGAAACATATTGAAGGAATTTTTTGGTGGTAGTTTAATTCCTGCATATTCAGATAAAGTGATCTTGTATCTTTATGAAAGATATTTTTATGCAAGACATTTACCGTCCTTATATCCTGGAAGCTATTACTTTTTAGCATATGGTATTCAAATTCACAAATAACAAGTTACTATTATAAAAAAAATGGCATTTCGGGTTTTGCCATTGGAACAGATTTTAATGTACAATGATTTTAAGTGCAAATGCACTAAAAGATGCAAGTGTACAGGAAGATATTTTAAACAGTTGTTCTTTATAGACTCTGCACTTGGTATTTCATGAACAGAAAGCTGAGGAAGACATTTCACTCTAGACAGTTATGCAAAGATAAATTAGTTGAAGATGTAGTGTATACTTGCAATATTAAAATGTAAAGAACCATCTACTCAACTACTTCACATGTTTCAGTTGGAACCAACTTTTCCTGGTGTCTTTTGCTTTTTAAATAACAGTGTTAGGCTGTTAACTTAAGACACACTGCTTGCCCTTGCTGCTGCCTTTTCCTTTCTCTGTGACAGGATTCCTACGGACATCCACAGCGTTATCTCAGTGTGCTTCATCAACTGGAACTAAAGCCAACCAAGTGACAGATCATTTTTGCCAAAATCTAGTAAGCCCTGGAAGCAGCTCAAAACAGAAAACTCAAGTAGAAGCCCCAAGTAAAATTGGGCAAAGCTGTCCTAGAACCAAAACATCTTCCATTATGTAAAGAATGCTCCACAACTAGGAATCTCCTACTCTCCCTATTTCCAGCTGATAAAAGATATGCCAGATAATAATGTAAAGTCCAAAGGGCCAGAAAAATACTGACTGAAGCCAATATAATGAATATCTCTACTTCATAATCTGGGTTGACAACAAAAAATTCCAAGATCTGAGAACTTAGTGAGTCAGAAACCCAAGAACATTCCCTCCAAGTATGTACTTTCAATCAATTGTACACCTGGATATTTAGTAGTTTAATCCAAATTTCCTGGGAAATGTCAGGCAAAACAATGAAAACTGTTGCCAAAATCAAAACACTGAATCTACTGTTTATTTTAAACCTTCTTGTTGTCATCATCTAGAAAGGAATTAGACTTGTTTCACAAGACCATTCTTGAAATTTTCTTAGCTATTACTCCCCTTCTCTTCTGTCAGGTACAAGCTTGTCCACCAGTTCACTGTACAAAAAACCCACACAAATTAGGCTGACAGATGTTTAATATATATTTTCCACAATACATCCCTCTATGTTTATCTAGCCTTCTCTTGGCTACCAAGACCAGTCTTTCAAAACCAATACTGGAAATCCATCTGCCTCTGTATCCATTGCTTAGTTTGGTATAAATTCCAAGGTCAACACACAGCTAGCAGGTTCCTCTTCCATCAAAATAATTGTCTTTGTAAAATACTTACTGTCAAATAGCATTAAAATCTCTATTAAAACAAGAAGGGGCCTAGGGAAAAATTACTTTGGAAACCACTCTTCTGGCTTCCAGAAACTCACTTAAAATACTTGATCAATACAAACAAAAAACCAGGATTCACTATTCTCACAAGCACCAGGTACTACAAAGCAGCTGCCTTGCTTTGGATCAGAAGGAGCCTGGCATTACTTTCTGTTTTGTATTGAGCTGCTCTATGTTGAAAGCTGTCAAATCAATCAACAAAAGGGTTGGTTTGGTAAGTTACAGAAAAAATGACATTTTACATAATCTCTGTTGCTTATCTATTACTGTAACTGTTATTTTCCTTTTGTAGCACCACAAAGATGAGATAGTAAAGAACTGAAAAGGCAAAGGAATCCAGCTGATTGAAATTTCCATCCCTCCTTTCAATTTCAAGAGACAATTGATTGACATAAGTCAGTGCACCCAACTTCATTCTCATAAATACTAGTCACAAAACCACAGTCACATCCTATCCAAAGGAAGAGAAAATAGCAATTCTCAAGCTGATCAAACATTAATGTCAGTAGGTAGAGTAAGCCCCAGTTTAGGATTTACTGAAAATGGGACTGTGTTCCATCTATGCACCAGAGATAAAGCAATAGCACATGACAGAGTTGCCAGCCATTACATCATATATTGGACAAATATTTGTATATATCATTGAGTGTCTCCAACAAGTTGAGCTACAAAAATTAAATTTGCATAATATTGCAAAAATTCCCAGGAAACAGCCAGACAAGAACCTAACACGTAACAGCCTGCAACATGTGCCAAAAATATATCCGTGCTGAAAGAGACATCAACTAGTTGAAGAAAAAGCCCTTAAATACAAAAATTGAACACCAAGGGAAATGCTTGAGTTAGATAAGGGAATATCTGAAACCTAGATAAGACAACAAATTATCTGTGTTCTCCCTACACTTGGGACTCTATAAAAAAAAAAAAACCCGTAGCAAGAACAGGTAATATGAAAAATACACAGCCTGCTGGGTCAACATAAAATTAACACCGTCAAATGTAGAAGGGCAAAAGTTCCTTCCTAGTTTCACTTAATACACAAATTAACATAACTCTTACAAACATTTAAGCAGAAAATAAAAATAGAATTTACCTTTAAATGTCTCCAGTTCCTTCCTGTTGGAGAAGAGCAGAATTTAAAAAAATAATTAGAAATACCACATGTAGAGCCACAGGATTTATTTTACATGCTTTAAGACTCACTAAAAGACAAAAATCAAAGAATTTGACTGTCACCATATATATCAGTAATATTACTACATGTGTTTACCTAAAGCAAACAAAATCAATCTGTTTTAAATTAGGCCACCACTTCTTTATAAACATGTACAATTATAAAAATTCTGCACACTTACATCTAGCTCCATAATTTCCAGATACACTGCTCCAAAAATAACCAAGACTTCCTAAGGCATTAGTTACTAAAGCATCCTTTACTTAGCAGAGATTTACCAATTTACAGCACAGTGAATAACAATTTTTGTTCCATTTTTATCAATGCTACTCAAAAACATCTTTGCAACACTGAAGGAGAAAAATTTGACAATATCGCTCAGTTAAAAGAGAAAGACAGGCAAGGAGACATACAGTGACATTCCTCAGAGGAGAGGATTTTCAAGTATGGAATATGACACATAACCCACAGTATCCATGTACCAGAAAGCTTAGGAAACCAAGAAAAAGATAAGAATATCTTTTTTGCCTTTGTACCAGGCCACCTTCTACTTTTAGTGGTTATGCAATTGAACGCAGAGGCTATAAAATGAACGGAAATATCTTCTCTGTTTTAAAGAAACTGCAAAATGCTCCAACTGCCATTACTACAATGTAGTGATTCATCCTGAATTTTAAGGCCAAAGAAAAATCAATGTAACAACTGAGATAAGGCAGAATGCTGGCCTTACAAAACACTCATTTAAATCAAACATTTTCTCAGTCTGCACCTCAGAGAATGCCTAGTTAAATTCTGAATTCAGAAGCAAAAGTGACTGTAAGAAAAATAAATTAAAGACTGAATTCACAGTTGACCAGATAAATTATTCTATTCTCTATCCACTGACTAAAGCACTCTTCATTCACCTACCAGAGACACTGTTTCACAATGCAGATGCTATACCTTAATAACTCCTTCTGTCCCTTAACACATGATGCAATTAAGCATTTATTCTTGCATCAAGAACAGACAAAACTCACTCAAAGCTGAAATAGTTTATTCTCTAAGCAGGCCAAAATATTATAAAAGAAGCAAGAGAATGCATTTACCTCCACATTTTCAGAGAACATCCCACTTTTGTCACCAAATGTTAAATACAGGTTTTTGAAAGAATGGGTGCTTTACCAGGAAATAAGCTAGAGTGTGATTCACAGTAAAGAATTCTAATAGTTGCAACTTCCTGTGAGTATCTATTTCCTTTCCTGCTTTTCCTCCATCCCTTTCCCAAGCTGGTTTCTCCCTGTTATATCAGAGAAAAAAGCTACTTTACAATACCTGTGATTTGCAAGTTCATACCCCAAAAATTTTTTCCTAGCTTGTTTACTCTAAATAGAGTTACAAAATTCTTAAACACTCTCACAAGTTGCCATCCTTTTTTTTAAATAATGGAACAGTAGTTGAGGAGACAACAATCACAGGAAATGGTTGTTTTCCATGGACTGAAACAAAATCATAGCAGAAGAAACATCTTGTGAAAGTAAGAGGGGAAAAACTACATTACTTGCACCAAAAATCAGGAGATTTTATGACATGTCTACAAAAGGAAAGACGAAACAATTACTGCCATTGTGTCGAAAGAGATTAGGAAACAAGATGGTAATACAGTAGCCAAGTGACAAATCACTCATTTTGTCTAAACCCCCAGAATTTTCCTTTTCAAAATCCATTGATATTTTTAGGTTTGAGATGCACTAAGATGTTGTTCCTATATCCATATACATAATTACCATTTATTAAGAAAGTTGGAAATTAATATTTGACAAAAACTTCTTTCCCTCTGAAAAATTAAAAGTATCTATGATTAGTATACAGTAAAAATACAGACTTGAAATGTAAGGATCTGTACTTCCTAGTATCCTCATACCAATTCAGATCCAAAGACTGAAGATTTTATATTTTACACAGCATGAATTAATCATATCTTGTGGTTTCTCACAAGACTTTCAATAAAACTTTTATTTAGAAATACATAATGAAGTACATGCTTACTGAAACCACGTTCAGCATCAGCAATATGAAAGATTTTTTTTTTATTCATTAAGTCAAATTATCCAAATAAAAACTTTGAAGTTAAAAAATTTCAATCCTTAATCTCATTTATCAGCAGCTTTGGTAAGAACATGACACTAAACTGAGAAGCGGAAAGGAAACTGACTTGTGATGACATTGGAAAAACAAATGGCTTAAGAGTATATCAGTACATTTTCTAGTTGGGTAATTAAGGCCTGGCACACAGATGTACAGAGAAAAACATATAACAGATTATTCCACTTCTCCCCTTTACAAGTAAATAAATGTTTTTGTATTTACTGATCAACTGCCAGAAGGAAGATACCTCCTTTGTCTTCTGTAAGAGTCTAGTGACAAAAGGTCATCTGCAGAATACACTGACCTCACGTTAAGAATTGAACTTCATATTTGGAACACAGACAAAGTAAAGAAACAGCAATTTGGGAGAGTAATTAAAATTAAAATGATTAAATTGAAAGCAGTTTTAGAAAAGTGGCCTTTAAAGCAAGGTTAAAAGACAACCAGAAGGAGATATATACGGCAACTGAAAGCATTCCATAGGGAAATGCCCCTGGATTTTAAAGAGTTTTCATCCAAAAGAACATTCAAGCACTTCACAGATGGATGAGATAACCCTTTCCACTGCTATTAGAAGGAAAACACACACCTGCCTTGCCTCTGGCCTCTCTACACATGAAGGCTCTTGTGGGCGGCTCAGCATCTGCCCAGGATTAAAGGAGCTCCCATGCTGAGTCTGACCACTGATCAATACAACTACCTGGCATCTGACTACATGCTCTTCAGCGACTCAATTTTAGGTTACTGACAGAAAAACCTGGCTAGTTACTCATATAAGAATACATTTTACCTTTTCATAGTTAACAGTAAGCTTTCAGAAGAAAGGACTAAATTAGGAGGCACATTATAATATGAATAGCTCTTTTCAGTGAAAGACGAAGTTCAGCACCTCTGAGCAAGAAAAAAAGGCTAAAATAACAAGCTAAAGTCTAACATAATCAGACTATAAAGGCATGGAGACACTTCAAAAGTAATCTCGTTCTGTATGCAGAGCAATTTACAAATTTCAGACTCCTCCTTGAGAGGCAAGAGGCTGTACAGGCTCCACTGACACTGAAGTTATGCCCATGAAAACTATCTGGCCACACATACAGGCAACAGTGTTAATCCCTGCCTTTCCAGTTGCTTGTTTTCATAAAGTAGATTGGAGGAGGAGCACTTAATTAATCTGTGAAATTCTGTACACATCAAACTCAGTTACCAGTTTTTAAGATACCTGGAATGTTCTGATGATGATGCTGTCAGTGGTCTCAACTTCTTCATTTACAGAAAAGTTAAGATTCAGGGTATGTGGTAAGAACATATACTTGTGGAGACAACAGGTGAAACAAATAGTCTACAACATATGACTTGTCCCACAGGGTATCTGAGGGGACCAATTAGAGTTACAATCTAGTTAGAAGGCAGATACAAATTCCCAAGGACCTTCCCATTCCCCGCAGGCTTTTTATTGCACTATTGGATTAACCCTGCTCCAGCCACGGAGCAGATGAGATGGACACTAGGAAGACTGCACTGGTATCACTGACAAACAAAAATAAATCTAGGAATCAGAATATGGGAGGACCAGGAGGCTTAACTATCCTGCTTTAAGTTACTGAGATAAAAGGCATTTTAATTTGTTCAGCAACAGTAAGAAAAAAAAATTTCAGGTTCTACTGTATCTTGCAAAGGGCTGTAACACTAAGATCAATTTCCTAAGTGTAACTAAACATCAAGGAATCCAGTTAAATACCTAGGAAACTATAGAAACACCACAAAGATGCCACCAGCCAGAACTGACAGAATTTCTTACTTGATCTTCAAGAAGAAAACAGGCAGATAAGAAAGCAACAGAGTCCTAAATTAATGTCAGGAACAATTTTATAAAATGGGCTCTGAAAGCAACAGTCAATAAATATATATAAATAAAAGACAATATCGAGACAGAATATAAATGCTAAAAATTGAGGATTGAATTTGAAAGATTTTACAATTATATGTGTTAATAAATGTTGAGTCATAAATATTATTTACAAAAAATATATTTGAAGAAAGTATAGACGCTTATCAGCAAATTAATATAAAAATAGTTATGGCACCTAACACTATCCAACCCAGAAACTGAGAAATGCTGCATTTCCTCTGCTATGTCTGGTACAGTTAAGTCTTCAAAATTATGTATTAAAAAAAAAAACTCTTCCATAGCCTGACTCATGCTTTAGTAAGCTAAAAAGCCATGAGATCTCTCCTCTGGGACTTTCCTCTGGATGTCATCAGAAGTAAAAGCCAAAGTACGGAGAACTCAAAACCTATGTCACTTGTAGGGTGCACAGAAATAATTTAAGTACTTTTTTTTTTGTAGTTAGGATTAGCACTTTTGTGAATCCTGACATAAAACTGTTTTCCCCATCCCTGAGATTGGTTGAGCACCCCTTGGAGATACTTAGGCCAATTACTACTTTGAAATACACTTGAGACTGAAGCAATGAAAAGCCTTTAAGTATTGAAAAATTAGTAAAAACCAACACTATTACTGAACTACTGCTGGAATTGAACTGCAGGCAAGGGTTTCTATTCATCTGACAAAACACTGAAAATAGGTCAGAATTCTCCATCACCAAAAGTGACATTTTATCCACTAAAAGAGAAGAGCAGAGAACTAAGGCATTTCAATAATATTGCAATGGAGATTTTTTTGCTTCCATATTCATGCAGATACAGAAGTAGCTGAAGTCTGTTTTCCAGCACATCTTCTATGTTAACTTCAATCAAGCAGATGGACCTGATCAGCAAATTTTTGCATTAGAAGTGACCAACACTGACTAGTAATCAA